AGGGTGCCCGGTATACTGCTCTGAATGCGGGTCAGCAGCACTCTCTCAAAGCACTTCATAATGATTGGGGTGAGTGCCACTGGCCTGTAGTTGTTCAGACAGGTGACCGGGCTCTTCTTGGGAAGGACGACGATGGTTGTGGTCCTAAAGCAGGAGGGAACGATGCTCTGGCTGAGGGAGAGATTGAAGATGGTGGTCAGAACATCAACCAGCTCGCTGGCACATGCCCTGAGAGCCCTCCCAGGGATGTTGTCCAGTCCTGCCACTTTGCGGGGGTTGATCTTCCTCAGGACTGTGCGTACCTGGCCTGGTGAGACAGTTAGTGGAGGGGAGTTGGGGGGCTGGGTGGTCTCGGTGTGTGTGTGCCTCCTCTCTGTGCTGTGGCTGGAGGTCTCAAAGCGGGTGTAGAAGGTGTTGAGGTCATCCGGCAGGCTGTCTGTGGAGCTTATGATGCTGGTGGTGGTCCTGTAGTCTGTGATGTGCTGCAGGCCTTGCCACATCCGTCTGGAGTCAGCAGTAGAGTAGAAGCCATTCAGCTTCTCTCTGTACTGCCTCTTGGCCGCTGTGAGAGGCAGTACAGAGAGAAGATTGTGCTGCTTAAAAATCTGCAGGCACTGAGTGTGACACCAAGTCAAGCATGAGCTAAGATCTCTGAAATCCTCTTCTACTGTTCCAACACAGACCCTAGAATATGGATGGTTTAAATCTGTGCACCTGGCAAAGTTTCTATTGGTATCTGTACATCTCTCACCCTCACACTGGTATATTCTAATGATTATGTGGTTGAGGTCAGTAGCTAGTAAGCAGGGGAAAATGTATTCCTGTGATTTCCAGCTTCCTTTGAAGACTGTACACTTAACAGTTCTCTGCAGCCGATCATTGTGCTCTGAGTCATAAATCAAGCTGTGTGTGTGCAGGTCATCATTTATGTATATGAAAGTCAGAGCTCAACATTCACTGGGATATGAGCAAAAAGAGCTAGAATTGTAGCATTGCCTTCATAGGAGCATTGATTCATACATCACTGACCGTATACATGTACATCTATCTCAAGATTTATCAGGTCATTTTTCAGGTCTAAGAAAGACTTCTTACTCAAAACTAAAGCTTCGCTCCGGAAGACAGCTGCCATAGAGTATCACTGTATGAATTTTATTTTGAAATGCAACCTAGGTGTTTACTAAGTTTCGGTATTCTTTTCTACACACTGAATTATTCCCAGTGACACACCCAGCTGACTGATGTTCCCCTTGTCTTTATTTTCGCAGTGACCTAAAGCGCAGAGTCAGTATTCTCATTGATGGCTCCCTCATCATTGCCCAAGTCAAACCAGAGGATGCTGGGAAGTATACCTGTGCCCCTAGCAACAGCCTGGGCCGACCACCAACTGCCTCTGCCTACCTAACAGTGCAATGTAAGAGTCCTGTCTTCTGTTGATTTGTAACACTTGCTAAACTTTAAACACTGTCCTGGCATGTTGTAAATGTTCTTCTTCATGCCCTTTTATTTGTGTCAAAGCTACCTCAGCTCTGTTGCCATGTATACCTAAATCCTAGGTCAAATAGTGCTTTGGGTTTAAAAGGAAAGAAACCAGGTAGAGAATGTAGAGAAAGACATTCTGTCCACTATACAACATTAAAGACATTTTTCTAATATTAATGTAACAAAGCATGAACGGCATTTCTCACATAATTAGATTCTACTTGTGACGGTACCTATGTGGGTTTGTCACAGTAATACAAATAATTTGTATTAGTGTTATTATAAAGTATAGTATTATGTTTTAAGAGTTTAAACTTGAAAGATACAACTAATTGCTAAAGACCATGTGGCTGTGGCCTGATTGCATTTCCTCGGCAATAAACAGCCCACCTAATTACATCAGAAATTATGTTGCTTGAAAGTCTTTAAGTTTCCAGCCTCAAAACTGACTGGCATAGATGCCTGATTTTTATTTTCTGAAGTGTTTTTTCTCATTTTTGTCACGGTTCAACTTCAACAGCACCTTAAGGCCTTCTGGATTTGTTGGAAGTTTTTGTATTGTGAGCACAAAGCGCTTTTTCTTTTTTGCATCATCTTTTTTCTGTCTGAGCCCTGTCTACTTTAAATCAGAGGGAAAGACAAAGAGGAAAGCACACGTACAAAAATCTCTCATGTGAAGAGAGCAAAACTTTTCCAACTTTGGCAGAAATAGCAGGTTCATGTTCATGTAGGATCCCAGTACTCACAGAAAGAAGATGACTGAGAAAACAAAAAGAATACCCGAAATAAACCTGAGCAGACATTGGAAAATGATTAAGCATCTTTACTGAGCAGTGTGTTTCCTGTGGCATTTATAGGCCATCCAGGAAAACTGGCAGTGACTTACAGTGAATAAAATATCAAAGTCAGTAAGAATATACATACTGTAGAGTATACACTGGCTACACATCACAATACAAATTTGTATTTAGTCTAACAAGTATATCTCCTATTCACAGCTCATATCAGATAGTTTACTGTATGTTATTATGTTATATATTGAAAGGAAATCAGGCAAATTACAACTGTACTGGAGTAGTAACTTACTGTAGTATGATGGTTAAGAAGGCACCTCAGTTCTAACCAGAGGCTTAACCATAGATTGACATTTTTCTGCTGTAGGGCTGCAGGTCCCCAAACCATCCTACTTGGGATGAAAATGTGCTTGGTGCAGAGCAGAGGTACTGTGGAATTGATTTGGACTCTGCCAATGTCTAGACTAACTCTGTTCCACCTTTCACCTAAGCCCACTCACACACCCATTTGCTTTCTGAAATAGTTTCTATTTTCATTAGCTTACTTTTTGACCCTTTCTGTCTGTCTTCCCTCCATATCTTTACTTCTCATTTGTACTTGTTCATGTGTGTAAATATTCATTTGCACGCCAAGACATCTCTTTATCCACCTTACTGTCTTAAATCATGGGGTTTTACCTTCTTATGCCTTCTTATTCTTATTCTCTTCAGCCATGAAACACTGTCCATCAGTGACTCCCAGCTGTAAACACATGATGCCTGATGAATTTGTCACCTAAGGAAAGCACCTGGCTCTTATTTGGAGCAGACAGGCAGTGGCAGGGCCAGCTTTGAAATTTAAGCCTCGTCAGCTGGTGACCGGCAACTGGCAGTAGTCAAGGCAACAGACATTTTGCATTCCCTCAGTCTCCTACCTCCTTCGATGGCTGTACATTAGATTGCAAGCTACACTATGTGTGTGATGAACAGAGGCAGGCAACACCAGTCATGAGAGGGAGGGAGGGAGAAGTGAGTGGTAGGGGGATTACATCACTGCTGGTGGACCAGGGGCTTTTCGCTGTCAGACAGCAGAGGGCTCCCTCTGTCTTTCTGTCATATTCTTTCCATTTATTCTCATCTTCCTCTCTTTACCTCTTTCTTTTAATCCTCGACATCCACTCTTCTCTATTAGTTTCATGTGGTTTTTCTCTCTTCTGCCCCATCCTGTTTAAAGCTCTCTCCCACAGTCTCTTGCTGTCTCGTTCTCCATGAAGTGCTTGCCAGTGAATAAGTTCCCTAAAGCATCTTGCAGTGAGAACCAGCGTGTAGTGAGCGATAGAGCTGTCTGAGGGCTATATTTAGAAACTTGGCTGCTGCGCTTGTCTGTGGTGCTGGTGGCAGCAGTCCTCTGGGCTCTTTGTGGCAGAGCGCTGCTGGGCCGGTGGTTAGGGCTTTGGAGGACAGCAGTTGTAGTACAAAGTTGTTCTGGCATCATTACAGTCAATCAGTCTCATTGTGTTTCAGTCCCTCTGACTCACGGTGTCACACAGTCATTCGTGCTCTTTCTTCTTCAGCTCTCTAATGTCAAATGAATACCTTATGCCTACTTGATGCTGCTCAGAATCCCACTGCCTCCTCCTCCTCTCTCTTCCACTAGCTCCTCTCTGCCTTACGTCATCTGCTTATATCTCTGTCTCACCTGTCCTCTTTCCCACGCTCATGCTCAGGCTTGCTCATCCTTCCTCTATTGCTCCACTGATAGCAGTCACCCCACGTCCTCTCACTCATAGCATTTCTCTGCCTCATCACTCAGTGCCTACTTTCAAGCTCTCCTCCTTGACCTCATTTAGGCCCCCCTTGTTCAGAATTCAGGATTTAAGAAGGAGAAGTATTAACGCACCTCTCTTCTCCTTTTCCTCCACTTAGCCCTGTTCCTCTACCAGATGGACCCCCGTTTTTCTTGTGTGCCTGTCTTTGCCCAATTCTTATAGCATGATCATGCCAAATCACAGTTATTTATAGTAGGGCTTAAAATCCAAGGGGAATATGTTAAAGCATAGCCAGTAATATGGAGCCAATATTCTAATGAAACTCAAACATGTCAGAGCGGATCTGATTAGACAGATTAAGGAGAGGAGCTAAATAGAACAGTGGATACATTTGGTTAAAATATCAACATTGTATCAACAAGATATACACAAGTTCCCTCATGGAAACATATCAAAGTAATAGTTTGGGTAACGTTTTGGAAAATTCACTTTTTCTTGAGAAACAGATAAGAAGGTCAGATCCACTCTCTTATCTTTGACTCTACAGCCATCAGGTTGCTATAGTTTTGCTTATAATAAAGAGAGGAATCAGAGGGACCCAGCTAACGTGGCTCTGTCCTAAGGTAACACAAAAGGTAACAAGAGCCACCCACTGTACCAGCACATCTACTATTTATGGGTGTATACAAATCAACTCATTTAGCTCTAAACAACAGAGCAAGTGTTTTCCCTTCATGTTCACTTCATGATGAGTCGTAATCATTTTGGTCATTCTGTAACTTTTCTTCTAGAACTGCCATCAGGTCATAATTTGAAATTGTCTAATACTTGGATTTATGTCTAGATGCCTACAAAACTAAAGATATTCCTCAGCTGTAGTTCATGCTTAGTGCTAGCCACCAAATGTTAGCAATGTCATTGCTGCATGTTAGCACGCTGGCTGAAGCTGAAAGCACCGCTGTTCCTAAGCACAGTCTTACAGAGGTGCTAGCATGGCTGTAGCCCTTTCATTCTTTCTTTTATTTCAGTTTTAATAGCTATGCCCTGCTGCAGCTATCTTGTTGTTAAATTTATTTAGCTCTCTATTTTACATACAAGGACTTCTGGGTTCGAGCCCCGGCCGACCCGGTGCCTTCCTGTGGTGAGTCTGCATGCTCTCCCTGTGCCTGCATGGGTTCTCTTCGGGTGCTCCGGCTTCCTCCCACAGTCCAAAGACATGCAGCTTAGGTTGATTGGTGACTCTAAATCACCCGTAGGAGTGAGTGTGAGTGCTTGTCCATCTCTAAGTGTCAGTGACAGACAAGAGCTGACACTTAGTTACAATGAAAGATGTTTTTGTTAAGCATTTAATGCTTCAAAGTATATGTAACTTAACTGCTTTCTTTGAATTTCTCCTTGCAGAAAACATTATTATACCAGTCTTTAGTGGAGTGAAGGAGAACAATTTAAGTAAGACAGAGGACAGTGTATCACACATGCATGAGGACAAATAGTGAGATCCTGTTTAAAATCTTGTTTGGTTTACTGTATATGTCATCATGTACACTATGTTGCTCATTTAATTTCAGTTGAGGAACAAGCATGATGTGCATGGGAGCACTCTACAAACATGCACAAGTGCTCAGAGACCAGCTGTGCTCCACATAAATTCACTTATCATTTTATTATGAGCCCACTTCCCCTTAACTGTTTGATTTCCCAGTCTTCTTTACACAGCTGTTATAATCACCAGGTCTCTCAGGCTTCCCAAGCTTCATGTTTATTCATTCAGTTTTCTCTCTGTGTTTTTCAACAGACCCTGCCCGTGTGGTAAACATGCCATCTGTCATCTACGTGGCCATTGGTCTGCCTGGTTTCATCCGCTGTCCTGTAGATGCCAACCCCCCTGTAACTTTGGTTAAGTGGAAGAAAGATGGCCTCCCTCTCCGGATAGATAAGGTGAGTTGGTGTGGTGTTATAAGTTTGATTCCACTTCCTTTTACCCCACCTTGGGCTGGAAACAAGTGCAGTATTTCTTTTGCTGAATCTTTGTGTGATCCCATGTTTCACTTTATCCTTTCATTTTCAGTTTCCTCTCTCATACTGAGTAAAAACCTCAGGACTTCCTTTATTTAATTTCCAAAAATGTGGGTTAGCATGAGTTGTTGATGAGGTTAAACATTTTTGTCTTCCTTACACATTGTCTATGACATCTTCATCCACAGTATCCTGGTTGGAGCCAAATGGACGATGGGAGCATCCGTGTGGCAGAGGTGACGGAGGACTCTCTTGGCACCTATACCTGCATGCCTTACAATGCCTTGGGTTCCATGGGATGGTCCCCTCCTGCTCCCCTGGTGCTAAAGGTACGTGCATAGTCACAGTGTATTTCATTTAACCCAAATTAACAACTTTGATGCATCCAGGAGGAAGTGAAGCTTCACCTATCCAGTTCAACAGTTTTTACTCATCCATTTTGGCTGTTTCGCTTTGGGCAGGACCCTCCCAAATTCTCAGTGGTTCCTGGAGGGGAGTACAGGCAGGAGGCTGGGAGAGAACTGGTCATCCCCTGTGAGGCCGAGGGAGATCCCTTTCCCAACATCACATGGAGGAAAGTAAGACACCTACACATGAAACACTATACTCCCACTCCACAGTGTAATTTGGCTACCAAATTTTCTGTTTAGTGAGCACTGTTTCATACTGTTTTATGTTACGTTCAGCTTTTTCCATTAAGAAATCTTAATCTTTGCCTGTAATGGGTGCTGCAAGTTTAAGTACCCAAACTAGCATTTTAAATCATATTTTAATGATGACTACAAAATGTGCAATCAGAGAACATATTAAATTCCCTCAGTTGTTCGCTTGATTATATGACATGTTTACTTTTGTTCACTGACTAATATGTCTCCCACTTTTGACATTCATAACTCATCATTCTGTATAATTTGATGCTTAAGCAGAGTGAAAGCAGTATTAGTGTTGTAGGTGTTAGGGAAGATTGTTATTTTTTTATTGCTGTTAAACTGTGTGTGTGGCTTGTGCATTTCTTCAGAGTTGTGAATTTCTTGTTGCATGTGTCAACATTCTGTGCCCTTCTGTCTGACTCTCTTTATTTGGCTGACTCTGACCGGGTGGACTGCAGGTAGGGAAGCCCAGTAAAAGCAAGCACAATGTTCTGCCCCGAGGCAGCTTACAGTTCAAGTCACTCACTAAGGAGGACCACGGGGAGTGGGAGTGTGTCGCCACCAACGTTGCCACGAGCATCACTGCCAACACGCACGTCCAAGTTATAGGTACCCAATATGTATATGAATGCAGAAACACACACATACATACAGAAACTTACACCTATACGTGCATTAATTGACAGTTGACTAAGCCCTATCCCCCTTAGCTGCTTTTGCTACACCTGTCAAGCCTTCAGTACTAGTTCAGCACTTAACAGGGGTATTTTTAAATAACCGGTCCTTGATTTCAGACACAGGTATACAAAAGCAGACGTCTGATTTCTGCAATAGTCAATGTGCAAGCTGAAATTATACCTACTGCTGTCAGAATTCATCAGCTGTAGCTAGCCAGCTAATTAAGCTTGCTAAACCTCATGTGTTGCTTGAAAACACAGTCTCTGGGTTACTTTTAATGTTGACTCATTTAAATGAGAAGCTTGTAAAATACTGTATCTTCATGCACTTAATGGCTACAAACAGTACATGATTTTGTGCTAAAAGACTGAGGCTAAAGCTAAAAGGTCAGCATTTCTGTTCTTGCTCTGCAATGTAGAGCTTCTTGGCCTAAGTATTACTGTAAGTATCGTAAGGAAAAATGGAAGATCAGACTCATATTTTCTTCTAACACCACTCTGTCTGGCTGATTATCTTACATATCTGGACAGTCAAGAAGCAGGTTGGATTTATGCTTTAATGTTCTCCTTTCAAACTCCATGCTTCACTTGACAATAATAAAGACTTCCAAAGAAAGTAATGGAGCAGGGCCCCACACAACTTTCTCCCTCTTAACCGCTTCCCGTGCTTTTGAACCACCCCTTGGTTTGGAGAGGCACTCTAGAAAGATAATTATCAAAGATAATTTATGCTCTTTAATGTTTTTGCAGTATGAAGTGGCATCACTGGCTATCATACTCATAGTTAAGTTAATCTTCTTCCTTCATATTTGTGCAAAGTGTTTCACTATCTGGAAAGAAAAAGTTGTCCTTTTATTTCTAAAGGAATAGTCCAACATTTCTGATATGGTAGACTAAGTTAGAAGAAAAGATTGATATCACTATCACGTCTGTGCATTAAAGTCGAGGTGAGAAGCCATCTATTCTGGCTCTGGCTAACATTCAAAAAGTGTGTCTGGCCACTGTTCACCACGTGACTGCAATTATAATTATAGCATAAAACCACTTGTCTGTTTTACATTTTGGCTTGGAATTTAGCAAACAAGATACAAGATGTTAATTAGTGAGCTTCAGAGGTGTAGGTAGATGTATTTATGAGCCTGTGTGTGCAAAAGCAGTATATTAACTGACACAGCTGGAAAAATGTAGAAAAAAAATCAACTGGACTTGGTTTTAGGTCAAAGACATTTCACCCCTCATCCAAGAGGCTTCATCAGTTCTGCCCGACTGGCATTGAGCCGGAGATATTTATCCCCATTGGTGGTGTTTCAGTTCTTTGATGTCCCCCAACAACTGAGTCATTGTAGCCCAGTATCCGTGAGTGTCGTTACCTGTCTTTGAACCCTCACCTGTGGACCGACGCCTGTTGTCCTGGTGGGCATGTTTTCTACGTTTTTTCAGCTTACTATGACCTGGATGACTGAGAATCTGCACGGACATTAACTGACACAGTGTTCAATGAACTGTAGAACAAAAATGTGTAATACACTGAATTATGATCAGCAGAAACATTAGTTGCCTTAAGAGGCCTTTATTGTAAAGAAGCTGCTTGATGGTGGATGTTTGTGGACAACTCTACTACCCTCTTTATTACTGTGGCATTCTGCAGCTATTTCATTAAGGTAGTTCACAAACAACAAGTACTGGCCTTGTCTGCACTGTTGTCAGTCTTTGTCTATGCTGACCACTGTACTTCCTTTCTGAGTGTAAGCCACTCAAATCAGAGCAGTACAATGACAGTATTGAACTGGCCTCTAATTGATTTCCTGTTGTTTTGGAAGTACTGAAACAGCAGAACAACAGTCTCTTTTTTCTATAAAAGTGTATATTAAGAACTTTGGCTGGGAAGAATTATTCTTAGCCATGGTACGTACATTATTTCCTTAGACTGGTATAACCAAAAACATTAACCGTGGACTATACAATTTTCAAAATTGCATGCAGTTTAGAAAATATACCTTTCAAATTTTCCGTTTCACAGTTAAATGCTGCATTGGGTTTCTGACCAATTAAAAACACATTACTGGGTTTATCCTGCAGTAAATTTCCTAAAATGAATATGCTGTATCCCAGCAGGGACACTCAGTGACTAATGTGCCCTTCTAACAACACCTTTCTCACTGCTTCCCTCCCTGCAGGCACAAGCCCCCACGCCCCCACCAGTGTCCATGTGGTGGCATCCTCCACCTGGGCCAATGTGTCCTGGGAGGCAAGCTATGACGGAGGTTTCCAGCAGACATTCTCAGTCTGGTATGGCCATGTGTGAGTCATCCCAGCATGCTTTGCTTCCTGCTTTTTCGTCTTTCAATACTTCCTCAGTTTTTTCTGAAAATCTCTTTCTCAGGGTTGTGTTCAGAACAGTTGTGAAAATGTAGAGATCGAAATACATGGCGATCCACTGTGAGTGAGTTTTCATCTCTGATCTTGGAATTTCTGGGGAAAGGCTAAAAGACAGTTGCAACTAAACTGAACATGACCCAAAGTTCTCTGTCCTGCTGTTGCTGCTGCTACTGCTGCCGCCGCTTTGCTTTGTCGCTGCTTGAATAGGGAAAAGGCCTGGGTTGAAATGTTTTACTGATTTGATTACTTAAGCCATTACTCGCTAACATAACTTAAATGTATAAAATCTTAGTATACTTTATATCTGGTTGTCATGTCGCTGCAGATCTCTAGTTGGGGTGCAAAAAGTTAATACATACATGTCAAAATTTTAGTATTTCAATTATTTTGTTTTAACCCAGGTCTACAAGAGAGCCATCTACATTTTGGCTGATGGGTGTTTGTGTGGAGTCACTAGATGGCAAAAAAAAAAAGTCAGGTGGATTTAAGCAAAGTTTCCTATGACACATGATCAAAAACAGCACAGTGAACACAAAGTTTCCTATGACACATGATCGAAAACAGCACAGTGAACGCATACAATCTATGGCAATCAATTAAACAGAACCAGTTTATTGGATGCTGTCATGCTATGAAACTACATGCAACTAAGTGATCATTAAAGTGCCCCTGGCATGCTCATTTCCAGCCATTTAATGTTTAATCTTGCGTACCTCTAGATTACCTTTGCACCTGTCACAACTCCAAATAGTCTGTAATTATTTCAGAACAATAAAATCTGAGAGCCTTTTCCTAAAAAGAGGATAGTTCGTGAACAACTGCCTGGAAATTATGACCATTCAAGGAAATCCTTAGACTATTGCGTAAGACTTTAGATTGTTGGGGAAAAAAATCTCGCAAGTGAGAGTTTGCTAGACTTGTATAAACGGAGTTGCTTCTGCATATAAGCACTAGAACATAGGTACACCTCATTTTTTGAGCTTTAGGTCACATTTAAGATGATAATTCACCATTGTAACATTGTAGATAAGTCAGAAAAGAAGGAAAAGCATGTCATGGGCACTTTAATGGTTCATGGTCTTTTATGTTTCTGCTAACATAAATGCATTTTCAGTGGAAATATGCTATGACTTTACAGTAGAAAGCTTCTGTAACAGAGTTTTGTTTCACATAAGCCCCTTTTCCACTGCCTGGTACCGGCTCAACTCATATAAACTCAACTTCCCTTATTTGTGTTTCCATCAGTCAAATGTGGATAGTACCTGGTACTATTTTTATATCACCTCAGCTGAGGTTCCAAGTGAGCAGAGGCGATACCAAACGGTGATGTATAAACACTGCAGGCTAGAATTACAAACCTCCAACCCAAATTAGATAAAATCTATACTAAAAAAATCACAAGGGGTATTTATTTGATCTTGAGCCTAATGGATAGAGGAGGGGGAGAACTCAGCATATTTCTGTAGCCTTGAAAGATCAAGACAGGAAAGTTTTGTTAAATCATTACTAAATAAATGATATAGAAGTTACAGATGGAAAAACTAATTTCCTCAGAAATTCTTAAATTCTATAGCTCTGACATTTCTGAAGAAGATGACTATAACTTTTTGAAGGACATAGCAAAACACATTCACCAAGTAGATGACAATTGAAAACAAAATTTTGAAGAACTAATAACCTGAATAAGATAATTGGTCACCTCTTTCAATAAAGCACCGGGTTCAGATGGTCTCACAGGAGACTTTTACAGACATTTCTTGTAAGACATTAAAGAACTGTTATGCCAGGTTTTCTCTGAAATATTTGAGACTGGTATACTTCCACCTATAATGAGGCAAGGGATTATATTAATTCTGAAATTCAACAGACCCTAGACTCAGAAAACCTATCACTGTCAGAAATTCAGACTACAAACTTCTTGTATATATTTTCACTACCTGTCTTCAAACAGGGATTGCAAACCTTATTGTAGAAACACATTCCAGCTTTTTAAAAGGAAGGTCAATACACAGTAATATGAGGTTAATAATGGATATAACTGAATATAGAAACCAAACTGGAGACGACTTTCTTTTGTTATGGTTTAGAACTGAGGCAGGACTCAAGATTGCTGACCCAGGTGCTAGTAAAAAAGGTGGTTTTAATGGTGGGAAACATGAAAAAAGGAACAGAGTCGAGGAACACATACAACCAGGGCTGGGCAAATACGGCTAGGGAGAACAGGATGACCAGGGGAGTAGGCTAACGGCAAAAAACAGGAGAGTGAGGATGAGGACGGACAGGTGAAAAAACAAACTACCCAGGAGGATTAGCTAACGAAAAAGGAAATCCACAGCACAAGAACTGTCAGCGTGGATACCAAAAAGAACGTCTAGCTAACCTAATGGGGAAAAACATAAAGAGATCCACAGCACAGGAACTGTCAGCGTGGAAAACAAAATGACGTACAATACATACCACGAACAAAGGTTTGTCACAGGGTATGCGAGTTACTGTTAGTTACAGTAGTTAATTCAATGCTCCGGCAATGACGGAGCGTCTGCCAGAGGAATAAGTAAGGAGGCAGGTAATCATCGGGATGCAGCCCAGCTGTGCACACCGACAAACGAGTCACTAATTACTGAATGCGGCACAGCTGAGGTGCAAATCCCGCAGGATTGAGAGAGCAGAGAAAAGAAAGGCGGAAGAGAGGCAGGTCGCGCCGAGCGGACCTGACACTTTGACTTAGTGCAGCACTCATTTATCTTCTTAGTTCTTAAACACAGTGGTTTTGGAGACAAATTTTTAAACTTTGTCAGGGGTTTAAACCAAAATATTACTAGCTCTGTTATATTACCTAATGGGCCTACCTCTAGCTTTAAAATTGGTCACTGAAATGTTAGCAATTTATCTTAAATACTGTAATGTAAAAATCTAAATGTATTAGGTATGATGTTATCATTAGCCAGCTGGCAGAACAGTATTCCTGAAAGGTAAACAACAAATTCCAATAGTTATCCAAAAAATTAAGAAATTTTCTAATGCCTCGGGATTAAAGTTAAACCTAAAAAATGTGACTTATTTGCCATTAATGATTCACCACTAAAAGACATCTGTAATATTCTGTATAAGACCAAATACATGGGAATTCATCTTAAACAGCACCCAAAATTAAGCCAGTCACGTAGAAAATGAATTAAAAGAATGGAAAGCAAAATTGAATTCATGGCTCCAAAGAGACTTGTCAATTTTAGGATTAATCAATATAACAAAGATAGAAAGCCTATCAAGATGCGTCTACCCATCCCAAATTAACCTAAATTTTATATGGAGAGACAAACCATATTATATGAAAAAGGAGATATGATTAAAGAAATAAAGGATGGTGCTTTAAAGTTATTGGTTTTGATTGTCTTAATGGAACTCTGAAAATAAACTGGATAAAATCTTGGATCAAACACAGCAACTCCTTCTGGTACTACATTCCAAATCATATATATAATAAAGTTGGTGGGTTAAAATTTCTCCTCACTACAGACTTCAATGTCAATAAACTGTGTTTCAAACCACGAATACATTGGCACATCATATCAGTGAACCACAATTAGCCCCATTCTTCGTACAAGGAATTTCAATTTTGGACAAAGCATGTACTGTTATGATCGCTCGTACACGGGAAAGTGAGTGAGCGAAAGGAAAAGCAGACCCAGGTAGGTGACTTCAGTGCAAGCAGTGATTTATTATGTACAGTGCAGTGAATGGCAAGAACTAGCAGGCGTAGATGAGCGGAATAAACCGGGTGTTGATCAGCGGCAGATAACAGTTCAGTGGTGAGGTTGATGGGGTAGGCCGAGCTGCGTCGCTGGGGTCACTCCTGAGCTGGTCGGTGGGCAACGAAGGTTACTAAGGGGATAGAGAAACCGGTGTTTATACAGATGGTAACTGGTGACTGTGCATCGACCTGACTGGTGGAGACTGGAAGGGTTGAGAGGAGCCAAGGTCCGGAGGTAGTAGTCCATGGAGGAAAAAGACAACATGGGATGAGAGCGGCAGCAGGGAGTCAAATACTATATAAATCAATAAACAAGGAGAATAGGTAAAGAGCAAGATAAAGCAACAACACAAACAGAGAGGGCCTGGGAATGAGAACGAACTGGCAAGGCAGTAGTAGGTGAGCTGGGTATAAGTAAGGGGCAAAACTAATGAAGTGCAGCTGGTGACAATCAAGGGGTGCGGAGCAGGTGTGCAAGGTGGTGTAATCAGGGGCCGAAAAAGAGAAACAGGGTGAGGGAGGTGAGAGAGGCAGGTGCAGCCGGCCAAACCTGACAGGTACAGATAACTTCATAAGAAACTGTTTAGTTAAACGTTTATTTCCTGGAAAACAAAAAAGTATATTATGCAAATTTGATATCCCCCAAAACACACTTTAAAATTAAGAATGACCCTTATTCCTCTAAAGAGTTGCTTAGATTACATTACAATATTAATGATTATTTGTCCTCACTATACAAAGACAGTATTGAAACCACTGACAATGCATTTTTCTCATATGATATTATGTTGATATTCACCAGTGGATAAAGAAACAACTTCAGGCATTGCCAGCCCTTATCTTCAGAGATGACATAACATTCGGTATGATAATGAAATTCAAAAATGATGAACTATGTTGTAATGTAATTCTGAGTTTAGCCACATTTTTCATACATAAAAATAGAATTCTAAATACACCCCCCAAATCTGTTGTTTTTATGAATTAATTTAAAAACACCTAAAATCTTTGACTAATTAAAGGAACCAAGGCTCTTAAGACATATTCCCACCAAATTGGATGATTAAGTTCCCCCTTGAGTATATATATTAATCTGTTATATATTTATTTTTCTTATAGTCGCTTCCTTTAGATCCTTGACATGCAGTACAATACACATGTTCATGAGTACATAAATATGAAAACAACTTTAACATTTTGCTGTGCTGTTCATATAGTACAAAGTTAACATTGTAGTGCTGTATTAGCTGAAACAGTGCAGTGTCTGCACAAAATTTTGTACAGTTTTACAATCATTACATATAGTTTTGACCAAATAAATTCCCATAGTATAATTATTCTTCTTCTACTTTAGGCTGTTCCCGTTTGCTGGTCGCTACAGTGAATCATCAGTTCCCACTGAACTGAAGATTCGCATGTTAGACTTGACACATTTTACACTGGATGCCCTTCCGGATGATCTCTAATTTAGAGCCGCCAATCAAGTTAAGATGCATGTCTTTGGACTGTGGGAGGAAACTGGAGATCCCATAGTATAATTACTACCTACTATTAGTATAATTACAAAACCTGTTGGGTTCTGTGTTTTATTTCAAGTTGTGTGTTGCTAGCATCATTTCCTAAGGAAGTTTTACATGTCAGTATAGCTTTAAGGCACAACAGGGCACTACAGCATTAAACCACAAACCACTTTACCATGAAAAGGCTGTATAGCATCATTCTACATGCAGCTGAGGATTTACCTGAAATGTGATCTTTGAAACACCAACAGTATTGCAGGTGTGCAGTGACAACTTAAAATATAAGACTTATAAATATATGTCATACACTGTATATTATATGTATTGGGATATCCTGAACTGAACCATAGGGTCAGGATCAACCATAATAAGCCCAGCTCTGTTTATTGTAACCTTTCATGTTTTATTAAATCAGAGAGGGAATTGCAGAACACATATAAAAAAGCAGTCAGCAGTTGTAGTTAAATGATATTCATACAGACAGCCAAACATTAGTGAATGATGCGAGCATAGCAGCTTTGGGTGCATTCATTTCAGCGACATTTCTTGGCTGGCACCTGTCTCTACAGCCCTGATACACACTGAGCCTCCTGGACATTACTGTATAAAACACAGCAGGGCACAACATATGCCAGTTATGTGACAGGACTAATTTAGGTCAACTGTGATACATGCTATATTTTTATAATGCAGAGCTATGACTAAGTGTGTAAGGCAAAGTGTGCACTGTGTGGCTATATTATGTAGGAGAAAACATACGCCAGCACATTAAGACAGATCAGGCTGTATCAGCAGTTACTGAATTTAAGGGACTCGTTGTTCAGGGACAGTTTGGCCTGTCAAGTAAAAAACATAATGTTTTTACTTTTGTGTATGATCCAGCAATCCAAGTGTTTCTCTTTATTTCAGCTGTTGCTGTGTTGCAGTGAATTCACTGCAACATAAATATTACCTAAAAATAAAGGTATTATTATACAACCCCAAATCAGAAAAAGATGGGACAGTATGTAAAATCAAAATTAAAACTGAAAATAGCAACTTGTAAATCATCTGTGTCCTGTATTACATTGAAAACAACACAGCAGCACATTATTTGATGTGACACCTCATTAGTTTTATTCTTTGTTTTATATAAACAAAATAAACACTGACTTCAATTCCGATACTGCAACACATTCCAAAAAAAGTTGGGACGGTTGCATTTCAGGGCCAGTACTGAGGTAAAACAATAAAATGGTGATTCCATTTGAAACAGGTGGTGTCAGCATGTGACTGCATCATGATTTGGTAGAACAGTGGCATCCAGGAAAGGCCGAGCCCTTTAGGAGCAAAGATGGGCCGAGGACCGCCAGTTTGCCAACAAATGTGTGAGAAAATTATTGAAATGTTTAAAAGCAATGTTCCTCAAAGAAAGACAGGAAGGGATTTGGATATGTCACCTTCTACGGAATCTGGAGGGATTTCAGTGCATAAAGGGCCAAGCCTAAACTGGATGACCATGGTCTCCGATCCCTCAGATGGTGCTGGATCAAGAATCGTCACTCTTCTATAAGTGATATAACCACATGGGCTCAGGATGACTTTGGCTCACCTGTGTCAAGCACTACAATATGTAGTTACATCCACAAACACTGCTTAAAACTGGACTGTGCCAAAAGGGAGCCCTATGTCAACAGTGTCCAGAAGCACAGTCGACTGCTCTGGGATCAGAGGCACCTGGGATGGACCATCACACAGTGGAAACGTGGACTGTGGTCAGGCCAATCAGTATTTCAGGTCTTTTTTGGAAGGGCTGGACGCCATATGCAAAGACGAAAGACTAAAGGAATGTCCAGACTGTTACCAGCAACAAGTCCAAAAACCAGGGCCCGTCATGGTCTGGAGTTGTGTCAATGTCCAGGGCAAAGGTCACTTACACTTCTGTGATGGCTCCATTAATGCTGAACAATACACAGAGAGACTTTGGTCCAACATATGCTGCCTTCAAGACGATGTCTTTTCCAGGAATGTCCATGCATATTTCAACAAGACAATACAAAACCTTATACATACACATTACCAAGGCCTGGCTGTGGAGGAAAAGGGTGTGAGTGCTGGACTGGTCTGTCTGCAGTCCCGACCCGTCCCCAGTAGAAGATGTGTGGCGCATTTTGAAATGCAAATTGTGTCAATGAAGTCCCAGAACTGTTGGACACCTTAAGACTAGTTTACAGGAGGAATGGGACAAAATGACACCTGACACATTTCATCACTTGGTCCCTAAACGTCTTTTAGTGTTGTGAAAAGGAACGAAAACATCACATTGTGGTAAATGCTTTGCTGTCCCAACTTTTTTGTTGCAGGCATCAGGATTGAAGTGAGTTTTTATTTTAAACAAAGAATAAAACTGACAAGGTGTCACATCAAATAATGTGCTGCTGTGTTGTTTTCAATGTGATACAGGACACAGATGATTTACACATCACTGTTTTTGATTTTACAAAGCGTCCTAACTTTTTCTGGTTTGGGGTTGTATTACAGTACTAATCTGGCTCTGTATTTATATCTGGATTGTTGCAGCTGTTGCATGTGCACACTTGTCTGCTTTCTTTGGTGATCAGGTGCAGTTGATGCTGAAATGTATGGCATGGGAAAACTGCAAAATGCAAAGCTGAGCACAGCATGGGCCTATAACCATCAGCTGAAAGTTGTGTTGTAACTATGTACAGTCATGTTGGATCAGTTGCAGAAACTACGTTACACTGTAATTTGTGCTGAGAAAAGACTTAAAGGGCTTTCCTGCCTGTCCACTGACTTCTCATCCTGGCTCCTGTACAGGCTGAAGAGGGAGCACTTAGGTCCACATGACTGGCTTTCCATACCTGTGCCTGGAGCCCATGACTGGATGGTGGTGCCTGGTTTGGAGCCAGAGACAACATACCAGTTCAGCATCCTGGCCCAAAACAAGCTTGGTACAGGTCCCTTCAGCGAAGTTGTCACTGTGAACACACTAGGTGAGCATACTCACTACAACTTGTTCATAGTGCTGCAGCCTCCCTGTGTACAACACTTGATACCTCTGACCCTCTGAAAAAGAAGGCAGTAAAACGGAGGCTAGCCCCGTGGTACAGCTCACAACTCCTCTCCCCAAAGCAGGTATCATGAAAACTGGAAAAGAGGTGGTGTTCCACTAAGTCTGTTTGTTGTTGTTTGTTGTGTCCTGTTGCTTTTCTTCTTTTGTCTCTCCTCTATCCACTCACCCCAACCGGTCGAGGCAGAAGGCCGCCCACCAGGAGCCAGGGTCTGTCGGAGGTTTCTTCCGTTAAAGGGAGTTTTTCCTCCCCACTGTCGCCAAGTGCTGCTCAGGGGGGATTTGTTGGGCTTTTCTTATAATAGTGTAAGGTATAGACCTGATTTTGTAAAGTGCCCTGAGACATTTGTTTTTGTGAAATGAATTAAACTGAATTGAATTGAACTGAGTTGAAATCAATTGATCAGAACTGAATGGAATTGAATTGAATTCAACTCAACTCCAATCATAAAATGCTTTTGGGTAGGATGACCAGAAAGACTGTCACTTAGATTAAAAAAGCGTCCTAGCATTCTCATAACACAAATTTGAATAAAACGCCAGAACGTTCTCTACTTCTTTTTGATGAATTTAACGTCCCAGAGCAGATTAGTGCCCCACTGTTAGAGCACCTATTTTAGAAAGTTCTATAGTGTCAGTGAAGTCTGACAAGTTAACATTTCACATCCTTAGCTCTGGAGAATCCAGACAATACCCTCTGAGTGCTAGTTGTGTGATGTTTCACAGCCTAAAGAATTCAGTTGCACTTCAGCTACAGAGAACCATGTCGATTTCATTTTCATTTTTCAGTCCAGTCTACAGACGTTTAGTCAGAAAATATGGCAGCAGAAACAAAACTGCCAGACTTACTCTATAGGATAAGGATAATCACCTTTATTGGCCAAGTATGTTGCACACAAGGAATTTGTTTCCGGTACAGAACCGAGGCAGCCATCTGTGGCGCCAACTCAACCGATGGCTCAAACCATCAGGGTCAACGGGGGGTTATAGGTGAGGAGTAAGACATAAGAGGAAGTTAAGAAACATTATATAGATATAGATGCTATATACTACCAGTCACAGTTTTGGAAACTTTTCCATTTGATTTGAATGGGAAAGCTTGCCCAAAGTTTTGGCTGGTAGTGTAACTTGAACCATTTAGCTCCCATTTATTAAGACATTGCATTAATAGCATACTTGACATTCTGGTATAATCAAAAGTGGCATTATATTTATTGATAACAGTCACATTGTTGACCAGTTTTGGCTGTTGCAAAAATAACATGAATGAAATAATGAATCTTACATGGTTTACTGGAAATTGTAGTGTTTTGACCCACTGCTTTGTTTCAAGGTTAGTCAAGCAAACATTTATGTGCTCACATCCTTACATCGGATGGAAATCACCAATCATCATCAACTATTCAGACAGGTGTTTTGGAGTTAACAACATAGAAACATAAATCACATAAACAATCAGAATTACTGTATACATCAACATTATATAAATTATATACAAGAAAATGTATATAGCACCTGCACTCACAGGTGTAGTAGCACCAGAATGTTGTCATAGCGCTGATCAGGGCTCCCTCAGTCTCTGCTCTCATGTGCTTTTGTTATTGTTTTTGTTCTTTTTTCGGTATTCTGCAACCCTGCCCAGATTACTTTTACTAGGGACAAGCTTCTTAACATCTGACAGCTCAGTCTGGAAAGTTTTTCTCTAGTTTTCACTGATAGTGGAAGCTGTTTGGACATTTTAGCTGGCAGAGCAGCAGCTGTTTGCAGGACTTGGAGGAGATACCGCAGGGGGGAGAGGGCAGGAGCCCTCTTAAGGCTATGATGGCGGGCTTACTGAACATCACTCCTGGCCATACATCTAGCAAATCTCCGTTCCCTAGCTAACAAAGTGGATGAACTGCTGCTCGTCAATCAGACGAACTCTGCCTTTAAACGTTCTGCTGTGTTATGCTTTGTGGAGACATGGCTTAATGACTCGATCCCTGACAATGCTGTTCAACTGCCAGGATTTCAGATCTACATAGCAGAGCACATGAAGGAATTATCTGGAAAAGAGAGAGGAGGAGGCATCTGTTTATACATTAGTGGAGGTTGGTGCAGTGGTGTCACAGTGCTGGAGAGAACTTGTAATATGGACCTTATTATTCATTAACTGTAAACAATTTTATTCTCCTAGGGAATTTTCCCCATTTATCCTGTTTGTTATTTATATTTCACCACAGGCCTGCGTCAAAAATGCATTGCAACTCCTAGCCAACCGGATAACAAGTATAGAACAGAAACATCCAGATTCCCTCCTCATTATCTTGGGGTATTTTAACAGAGCGAACTTTACCCACAAATTGCCCAAATACAGACAGCATGTCAGTTGTCTCACCGGGGACAAAAAAACACGAACATTGCTATACTATATTTAAGGAAGCCTATCGCTCTGCTTCCCCTGCAGCCCTTGGGCTTTCAGGCCACTGCGTGATTTACCTCATTCCTCCGTACAGACAGAGCTTAAAGCTGCCAAGCCTGTGGTCAAAACGGTGAGAAGATAGACTGAAGAGGCAAAGGTAAAGCTACAGGCCTGCTTTGACTGTACAGATTGGGGTGTTTTTGAGGCTGCAGTTATAGACCTGGATGAGTATACTAACACTGTGACATTATATATCAGCTTCTGTGAGGACGTGTGTGCCCATTAAGACTCTCTGCATATAATATAATAACAATAAACCTTGGTTCGCAGTGAAGGCCAAACAGTTCTATCACATCAAAAAGGAGGTCTACAGGAGTGGGGACAGGACCCTGTATAACCAGGCTAGAAACACACTGACAAAGGAGACCAAGGTAGCAAAGAGGAGCTACCCTAAATAAGGCTTATGTGTCTTCAGTCTGGCCAGCGAGCCATTATATGTGTGGGGTAGCCTACGGAACATCACCGGGTACAGGTGACCACAATCCTGCTGTGGTGAGTTATCAATTGGTTGACGAACTGAATGAGTTTTATTGTAGGTTTGAGAGGCAGAACTCTACACCCCTTTCTCACCTCACCTTGGACCTGCAACCAGTAGCTGCTTCTCCCAGGACTATCTGTCTTCCCCTCAGCCGCACCACCTCTGAGGGTCTGTGAAAAAGATGTGTATAGCCTTTTTAAAAAATAAACGATCAGAAAGGCACCAGGCCCTCCTGACTGAAAGTCTGAGCGGATCAGTTGGCTCCCATTTTCATGCAGATCTTCAATAGATCACTGGAGCTTTATGTAGTTCCCTCCAGTTTTGAAAGTTCCACCATCATCCCAATTTCCGAGAAACCCTCCATCAGGGAACTGAATGACTACAGACCTGTCACTCTGACATCTATAGTCATGAAGTATTTTGAGAGACTGGTATTGACCCATCTGAAGGCCATAACAGGCCCCCCATTGGATCCCCTTTAGTTTGCCTACTAAGTAAATAGGTTGACGGATGATGCCGTCAATATGGCACTGCACTACATCCTGTAACATCTAGACTCACCAGGGACCTATGCTTGGATCTTTTTTGTGGACTACAGTTCAGCATTTAACACCATCATCCCAGACATCCTCTACTCCAAACTGTACCCCTGGACTGTCAGCACAGGTGCTCTCCCCGCTGTTGTTCTCTACACCAATGACTACCCTTCAGGAGACCCCTCTGTAAAAATTCTGAATTTTGCAGATGACACAAAAGCCAACGGCCTCATCCAAGACAGTGACAAGTCAGCTTACAGACAGGAGGTTAAACAGCTGTGGTGTGGTCATAACAACCTGTAGCTGAACACATGGAAGACAGTTTCAGGAAGAGCCTCCCCCACCTTACCCCCCCCTCACCATACTTGGCAGCCCTGTATCAGCAGTAAAGTCCTACAAGTTCCTGGGCTCCACTATCTCCCAGGACCTGAAGTGGACGTCCAACATCAGGACCATCACCAAGAAGGCACAGCAGAGGATGTACTTCCTGCGCCAGCTCAGGAAGTTCAACCTGCCCCAGGAGCTGCTGATACAGTTCTACAGAGGAATCATCGAGTCTGTTCTCTGCATCTTCATCACTGTCTGGTTTGGCTCAGCAACCAAACAGGAACAGACTCCAACGGACAGTAAGGACTGTAGAAAAAAATCATCAGTGCCAGCCTGCCCTTCATGGAGTTTTAAGTTTTTGTCTTTATTTTTTTTAACTTTTATTCTGTTTTTATATCGTTGTGCACATAAGGGATCATTGGGCTGGAGTCAGATCCCTTGTATTTTTTATAATACTTGGCAATAAAGTTTATGCTTATGCTTAAAAAAATCCTTCTCATAAGACATATCATCAAGACTATACCATTTAATGCATCCCTATAAAAATATGATAATATAATGCCATATATTTTATAATATATATTTGAATACTTAACAGTCATGGTGTGGCCGTTTACACAACAGCTGAGCTACCTGCTAAGCTGCCCAAACCTACAGTACTTGTCTGAAACTGACATGAGACAGTCCTCAAGTATTGCCACTGCTGGTATTCTATGAACTGCAAAAACAAACTCATTTTCATCACAAGTGGTGAAGGGTGTTTCTTTTCCCACAAAACCATCTTTAACCAATGTACAGACACATCAGGTGCCAGCAGCTACAACTATTCTGTACCAGCAGCCTGAATACTGATGTCAAACCCGTTGGCATTCTTCATTCAGTCAGATCTGAACATAGAACATTTTCAAATAAGTAAGTTAATGGTGAAGGTCGCGTTATTGGTCTGGTAATTCAACTGACTTTACACTGAAATGCTGTGACTAAAGTTTGTTCTATAAATCTTTTATTGTTAAGCAATGACATTTTTCTATTTATTTTAAAAAAGTATTTAAGTAAAATTTATTGGTGTTGATTTTTGTAATATGTTAAGTAACATTGTAACATTTTATTTACATTAATGAATTTTGTTTAAAATAACAATTTTGTGTGAGTACAGTTGTTAATTTCACACATCTTTGTGACATAGTAAATGTGTTAATATGGCAAAAGTAAATAAAATAAGCACATCTTGTCCCAAAACTCAATAATTTACTGTATGTGCAAGAACTGAACTCGTGTTAATTTTAACACGTCTGTCCTACGAGTATTTATTAACGTAACAACAGCCAGGAATTCTTTTTTTTTTATTTTTTCCAACATATAAGAATATCATATGTATCACATGTATTACTACCTATGCTGAGTAAATTTAGAGTTGCATTGCTGGCTATGAAATCAACAGTTGCCAGCCCAGTAGTTCACCTGACACTGCTTGTTAATACACTTCAGTGTGTAAAATTGTTCAGCCCTATACTATCACACATAGGCCTCACAAACCAAAGACATATTGTTGATTATCGGAACTGCAATTTAAAGGCTACCTTGTAAAGGTTTAAACTGGGCATTAGTTGATTTGTTAAGCATTATATAATTCATTATGACAGCCAGGAAAGAGGTAGTTATTATGTGTAAATGGAGCTGTCACAGATTATTACTTAAAGAAAAAGTGACACACTGAAAATTGGGATAACTATTCACGCTTCATCACCTTCTGTGTCAACCGAGAAGCCCAAAGAAGACAAGGCTACAGTATTAGCCCAGCAACCATGTGTTGTGTTTCTCTCATTAAAAACCCTTAACAGCATCTTCTACCAGTAATTTGCAAGTCATATGACATATCTACAATATTAAGCATGAATCTTTCTTTAAAATAATACATGCTAATATATTGGATAGTTTCTACAATTTCTGTTATTTGTTGTTAATGATGATAAATTTGTGTGGGTGGGTGGGGGTTTCTGTGTGTGTGTACTTACCTGATGTTACACATGTGGTTATAGTTAAGGTTAGGTTAGGGTAGGTCTCCAGGTAATGAACGTAAGACAGTGTCCCCACAAGGAATAAAAGCAAACGTGTATGTGTTTTATACCAAAGAATTAAAGACATTTTTGGGAAGGTGAGGATATTTTTGGATGGTCCCCACTCAAAGGACAGTTTGAAGGTTAACACTTAGGTTTAGGGTTCAGGGTAAAATCAGATTTAGGTTAGGGTTGATGGAAGGGTTACAGTAGCTGTGATGGCTATGATTAGGTCAAGGGGCTAGGGAATGTATTATGCCAAAGAGTGATGAGTGTCCTCACAAAAATAGCTATATAGGTGACTGCAGAATGAGTTCAGTCCTGAAATATCATTCACCAAAACCAAAGTGGGAATAAACTATTGCATACATATCTGACCAGGAAGATGAGCAGATTGGAGAGCAGCATGTCAGTCAGAAATGGGCTCTCAGGATAGTTATAGATGGGATATGAGCTCACAAGATGAAGTGTTTTTGAAGCTTTCTTAAGGGATGTAAGGATTCAGAGATGAAGTGATGAGAAAGGTGAACTTTACATATGTTAGAGATGCATCTGGTACAAACATTTAATCACATCTAGTAACAGTCTAGTTGTGTTGTAAATGGGGATGTTATCATGCTGAGGGAGCTATTCACTAAATATGTAACTCACACATTTTCTCAACCCTAATGTGCTCTTTCAGTATTTCCTATAAGTACCCCTGAACCATTGGTGCTGCTTACCCCACCACGGTGCCTCACAGCCAATCGCACGCAGCAGGGTGTCCTGCTCACCTGGATGCCTCCTGCCAATCACACAGCACCTATCCAGCATTATGTCATGGAAAAAAGGTCTTGGAGGACAGCATACATGCTGGTGAAACAGAGTTGCTTGCCCGAGACCTCATCCAGGTAAGAAACAGGACACGGGCTGTAAACTTCACAGACAGTATTAAAGAAGACCTTCTCTACTGTATGTACATCTGCAAGTCCCAGGCAGAAGAGGCTAAAAAAATATCAGGGACATAGTAGTGGACTTTAAGTTTGCACAGAGGTTCTCATTTACAGCTTATAAGAAAATGTTGCTGTTTTGCAAGATATACTAGAGAGCACAAACCTCCGTCAAGGCAGCTCACTGTCCCCATAATGCCATTACACCTAAAACCAATATTGCCATGATAGTTTGACTGTTATAATATGATTACTGACCATGAAAACTTGGCCCTGGCATTTGGAATCACATAGATAACATTACTAGATTGAAAGTTATGCAAGAAAAAAAAAAATGTTTCACCCAGGCTCTAGCTCAGTAACTTTTTAAGATACGTCAAACTGAATCATTAGAGTTTGAATTTGATCTTAGTTGCAAGTCTGTAGCATTATTTGTTTTGTCACAGTAGGGAATTTTCTGTGAGCCATATAAATCTGAACATTCTTAATCAGCACATCCAGAAAATTACTTGAATCCTGATCAGACTTTGGTGTGTGGTAGGTCTTATGTGGATGCTATTGTGCAATTTTATTTATAATTTTTACCATTATAGGCATTGTGTATGGAGTGACATTGGTGGAGAAATCTTTAAAATATACTTGGGTTCAGATGATGATCCAGATCAGCACCAAAATCCAAAGGACATTTTTATGGGCCATACCCTACCTCAGCAAAAAATTTAATCAAAACTCATTAATTATTTTTTGAGTTATGCTGTGAACCAACCAACAAACTAACAAACCAAAAAACAACAGTAAAAACATTAAGTGCTGGTAAAATGTTATTACTTCTACCTTGATAATAACTTGGTTTGCCCAGGTGCTACATTTTTTAAATAGAAAAGATGCTAATTTCTCTGTTTACTTTCATTTTGATTCAGAGTTAAGTGTTTGAAATTACCTATGTGAAGTTCTAATAATTTTGGAAAGCTTTATGATGTTGTCCAAATGAATAATACCTAGGATGAATAATAACAGGATTTCCCTTTAAAAGTGAATGGAGATGAAAGGTGGGTGCCAGTAGGCCAAACATATTTTTCTCTAACATGTTAAAGACATTCATGCTGCATCATCAAGTTGAAAACTCACCAAAACAACTTCTGAACAAAAGTTCAGCATTCCATCGTCTCACCTTATCTAGTCATTATCTGGGTGTTCAACAATCATGTTTATGCAACTAAATTTAGTGTTTATCTTATTAATCATTTCTACCTGTATTGATTCATAAGAGGGAAATGAGCCATATGATGCTGAAGGTGTAAGAACAAGAAAAAAGAAAGAAAATGGCAGTAAGCCAGTTCTCTGTTTCACAGTGCAGAAAAACATATTTAATACCTTATTCTCCAGTTCTCAACTGAATGAGCATATTAAAAAGTTAAAAATAAATCTGGCATAAAAATGATTTGTCAGTTTTGAGTGTTTAACACTATGTAATGACTGACATCAGTTATGTCACAGCTTAACAAGTCTGACCTCTGTTTTAGCTGACTTGGTCACTGAGGAGCCTTTTTTTGGTTGATATGTCCGATGTATTTGCCAGTATGGAAACACCAAAGCTGTCTTCAGACTGCAGGCATACATCCAAGTTTTGCTGTTAATGCTTTAATTTACATACAGTATGTCCAGATCAAGTTCTGCATATGTATGATAATGTGCTGCCTTATTAACCCTGGTTGTTATAGTTACAGCGCAGGCTTGCACATGCTGGCTGGACTCACTTTCTGCCCATTTCTCTTTTTTAGTCTTGATCATACTTTGTATCTACCATTCAGGACATAGAGAAGTTTATATCTCTACAGGTTTGCAAGTCAAGTACTGAACCCTCAAACAGTGAAAACAGCAGCTGAAGCATCCATCCATTTTCCTCCGCTTATCCGGGACCGGGTCGCGGGTCGCAGCTGAAGCATATAATTCAATATACTGTAATACACTGTATCAGTATAAATTATGAATGCATTTTTAGAGGACAGTACATTTCCTAAAGCCATTTTCACTGCAGCAAAGGAAAATCAATATATCTTTACTGATTAGAGTTCCGACACAATGCTTCTTTTTCAGCATTTCACATCCTGCCCATGTCTGCTAATTCTCCTGCCTTGACATGTTTGAGCTTCTTTCTTTAATTTAACCACCACTTTGAGCTCTGTGCACATGCTTTTATCTTTCCCTTCACTGCACAGCAAACACCCACACACACTTCTCCATAACTTATAGAACTTTCCTGTGGCAAATTTCTTACTGCAGGTCACCTGAACAAGAAGGACCCTCTGCTTAGCTACCAGCACTTGTGAATTTGTGCAAAAGTGGGTGTTTGAAATTATGCCTGCTATTACACACTTCTCCACATTCAGATGTTCAGTTTTTCTGACAGTGTAGGAAACACGCTGTCTACAGATTATGTTTTAGAAGATGTTTTACAGCCAAGTAGGAATGCAAGTGTATTTTCATTTGTATATTTGGAGTCTTCAGACCCAACCAACACTGATTCAAGTGACATCATTTGAATATATCAGTCAGACTCATTGTATGGACACCGTGACAGCTCCTAGAGCAGCACAATGAGAGGAGCCAACTGCTATAGCTGCTCCTCTGCCGCTCCAGAAAGCTGTGTTGTCCATTATCACCTTCAGTTTATTCGGTATAGCCCTCTCCACCACAGTCTTTAATGGGTCCAGTCTCCCACAAAGCATCGAGTTTTAACCAGCTTACCCAGTCGCTTGGTGTTTTTGTCCTTCAAACTGCCTCCCCAGGACATTACTGCATAAAAGAGTGCACTGCCCACCATGATGTGATAAAAAATGCTCAGCATCTCAGCACATGTATCAAAGGACTTCAATGTCCCCAGGAAGAACAGGCGACTTTGCCCCTTCCTATAAAGGGCATCAGTATTAGGGGACCAGTCCAACTTATCATCCATAAGGACCCCAAATACTTTGCGCACCACCTCAATGTCCTCTCCCTGTATGGAGACTGGTTGATGGGGCGCTCGTTCTTCTGAAATCCACCACCATCTCCTTGGTTTTAGCAGTGTTCAAATGGAGACAACACTTATTTCACCAGTCCCTAAAGGCCTCGTTTAGGTCCCTGTACTCTTGTTCTTGACCACTCCTGATACACGTCACAAAGACTTTATCATCAGAATGCTTCTGTACGTGACAGGACTCTGTGTAGAGTGTGAACAGGAAAGGTGCCAAAACGGTCCCCTGTGGAGCCCCCATGCTGCTCCTGACCATCCCATAGACACAGCTCCCAAGCCTGACATACTGAGGTCGCTCTGTCTGGTAGTCAGTTATCCAGGAATTCAAGGAGCAATCTACCCCCATCCCCTTCAACTTGTCTCTCAGTATGTGGGGCTGAATGGTATTAAATGCACTTGAAAAGTAAAAAAAAATTCTGACATAACATCTCGGCTCCTCCAAATACTGCAGGTGTAGGCCCAGTGCAGCATATAGAGAACTGCATCCTCCATTCCAATGTGCTCCTGATATGCAATCACCTCAGTGACTACTGACATCAGAAAACAGAGTCCTAAACGCCCAAGTGTCTTCATAATATGTGATGCTAAGGCCACCGGCTGCCCCACTTTAGGCACCAGTACAAGACAAGATGTTTTCCATTGCACTGGGACTCTGCCTGTTCGAAGACTCGTGTTAAAAATTCACTAGAATGGTTCTGCTAACTGGATTATGAAGACATAACTGAGAAACAAAACAAAACAAAAGAAGAAAAAACTTTCTGTTAGACTTTTCTGCCTAATAAATGTCCAGATCTTTCCAATTGTAACTCTTAGTAATGGGGTTTTTGAAGGCTAATACTTGGTTTTAGGGAACAGGTTAGAATTAGGTTTAGGTTAGGCCTAAGTTAAGGGTTGGGGGTAGGCATTTATTTGTGATGGTTAGAGGCTAGGGAATGTATAGGCAATGCATGTGTGTGTGTAAGTATTGGCAGTGTGCCCTTTAATAAAAAATCAGGAACACAACAAATATAGTTTACTGTAGACAATAGATTTTTTGTGCATTTCATGTAGGATTGATCCTTTTTTATACACAGATTTTTTTAAGTCTCATAAGTGGTGCTAAAACTCCATGTAACTGTCAGTGACACACAGAATGTTACAGCCTGACTGAACCTTTATGACACCAGACAAGACGGTTTACCTTCTGAATGCTGATCTCTCTGTTCTCCTTCTCCTAGGAGGCATGGTATGAGTTTCGCATCATGGCTGTCATGGATGACATGATCAGTGAGCCTAGTAATGTAGTAGGAGTGTCCAGCACAGGTACAGTAAGCCATTTCATCACACAGTGCATATGCAATGCAGTAATTTCACGTGTGGTCATCTTTACATACTGTAAATTTGAGAATAAAAGTCCTGCTAGCTAATATGTATACAAGCCCTACATTATTCAGTGTATATTTATGTAAAATGAAGCAGAGTCTGAATAAATAAAGCACATACCTTTGGGTTGAAACCATGCACACTGCTTTGAATTCAGATATTTTCTTGTTAATGCTGGGATTCAACCCAATACCCTCTGGCTACAACCTGCATGTCTAACCACAGGCTATCTTTAACATTTCTGAGCTGAGGAGCGGTGATTAATGTATTGCACACACAGCAACTTGAACTTTCCATTTTCCTCACTCAGCACTATTAAATTTAAGCTCGCTATATACTCCTTTGTAGCATACTGAAAAGTATGACATCATCATTCTGCCTGTCTCCCAGGGATTGTATTGGGCTGCTTTGTGCTAAAAACGATTCATTAAAGCTGGTCTTTTTTGGTCATCTGTTTTCAATCTGAAATTAAACCTTTCAAAATGTGATGCCGCTCCCCCGCAGAGGTCACCGAGTGCACATTTAGTAAGAGCAGTGGTTGTAGCATTAATAGACATTTGCTGAGGAACCATCAGCTCTCTGGAAATACTCTGCTGCCCCCCACAGGTAATGCTGGAGAGCTGTGCTTCTGTATGTGGTGATGAAAGACTCCTTCTCATTTCTGTGATGTTTATATTAGTTTGACTACCTTCATTATGTGTATTGCTAATAAATATAAAGCTGAATATATGATGTAGATACACCCCGTTCTTTCAAATATGATCAAGCTGTTCTTTGACCAATCACTCTAGTTATTTCAGGTTCTCATATTGCTGGTAGTACAGGAAAATATTTAGCATTTTGCTGTATCATGCTTGCCTGCAGCACATATACTACTATGGCCTACAGAAATGCAAATTTTGCAGACACTAGAACTACTAAAGGTCAGCATATTTGAATCTCAGTGGATACAGTGGGAATTTGCTTCCACAAAGGCTCATCTGCAGCAACATACAAATGATTGGGTTAGGCTTTTTTTTTTGGTTTCCAAGTATGGCAAAAAACAAGACGAATGAGGAAAGAGCAACTGAATTTACACAGTATGCATACTCCCAAGAAATCATCAGAAAATCCTGATTGAGTTTATGAAGTCACATCACTAAAGAGAAGCCTAATCAGAACAGTTTTCCTCCAGGGAACAATGTGCTTGTTTTCTGCATGGTAATCTCATGGTAAATATCACCATCTATTTCAGAGCCAGAAAATGAATGTAGATATTAGCATTAATTTTGAGGAGTTTACAAATGTTTACATTTGTTTCTTTACATGCTTGCTATATTTAATTTACTATTTATGCTTTTTAACTACATAAATCATTCATATCCTTGACCTCTGGGAAGGCCACCCCTGGGCCTAAGTGTCCAACTGCAAATTGTCATGCCCCCCTTTTTTTCGCACCATTTTCTTTCCATTCCGATAATCAATATTTTGCTGCAACCACCTTGTAAGTTCCTGATTATTCCCTCCTCATCTCACAGACATCTTCCCTCCTCCAGAGATGGTGGAGGAGCGTGGACTGGCACGGCCTGTAGTGGCTGGCATTGTGGCCACTATCTGTTTCCTGGCAGCAGCTGTCCTGTTCAGTACAATGGCTGCCTGCTTTGTCAACAAGCAGCGCCGGCGGAAGCTCAAGAGAAAAAGAGGTGAAGGGGAATTCCTGTTCATTATTAGCTATCTCCAAAACTGCTAAACCTTTTGTCAGGAAGCCTTTAATGTATCATAAAAAACTAAGATGAAAAGTTTCTTTCATGTTGTAGTATTTGGTACTTCAGGCATTTCCTAGTGTCTTGTTCACTATATTAGGTTTGAACACATTAATTAAAAAACCTAACTATGACACATTCACCATATTACCTAACTTGTACTTAACTGATTCATGTACCTCATGCTTTTTTCTGAGCAATTTCCTCTTAGGTTCTGAGGCAATTGCATTCTCAAACAGCAAGGGTCGGTTAAACAGTTTGACTTACAATATACTGTTAGCTAAAAGTGGCTTATTGACACTTCATATAGCATAATCTCCTTTATTTTCATAGTCCAGAACTGAATGATAGACAACTTTGCAGTGATAATAATACTGTAATTACAACTATAATATACAGTATACTAATGACTAAGGGTGTAACAATACAGGCACCTCACAGTTTGGTTCTTTATACAATTACAGAACTTATCAAGTCAAAGGTCAAGTGTTTATTTGTCATATGCACAGTTAGGAAACGTGTTTCCCTGTACAATGAAATTCTTACTTTGCTGTCCACATGAATGCCACAAAATACAAATGAAATATAAAGTAGATAAATAAGTAACACAAAATCTAAGGCACTTTAAGCAGCAAATGCAGAGATATAATAAAAATATATAAGAATATAATAGAGAGTGTTTCCTGCCATGGGAGCAGCATGTGCAGTAGTTAACAGTGAATGTGCAATTATGCATGTGCAAACTGAGAATGTAAACAGTACATGACGTATTTCCTGGTAATAAACTCCTCAGCTGTTTAGGAGTCTGATGGGAGAGGGAAAGAAAGAGTTTTTCAGTCTAGAGGTCTTGCATTTCACACTTCTGAGCCTCCAACTGGAGGGTAGAGCTATAAAACAGTCCCTGCTGGGGGTGGGTGGGTTCCTTGAGGAAGGAGGCAGCTTTCCTATGCATCCTGCGGTGGTAAATACTCTGCAGAGAGGGCAGTGGAGTCCTGGTGATCTTCTCCGTGGGCCTTCTTGACCAGCTGTGTGGTGTTAAGTGTCCAAGTGAGGTCCTCACTGATGTGGACACCCAGGTATTTGAAGCTGTTCACCCTCTCTACTTCGAGCCCCTGGATGAACAGTGGCTGATGAGATCTCCTCTCCTTCCTCATGTCCACTATCATCTCCTTCATTTTGTTCGTGTTGAGGCTGAGATTATTGTCCTTCCAGGGTGTCTGGTCTGCTCTGGATGTGGGCCAGTATCACTCTCTCAAAACACTTCATAATGATTGGAGTGAGTGGCACCGGCCTGTAGTTGTTCAGGCAGGTGACTGGGCTCTTCTTGGGAAGGGGGATGATGGTTGTGGTCTTAAAGCAGGAGGGAACGATTCTCTGGCTGAGGGAGAGGTTGAAGATGGTGGTGAGAACATCAGCCAGTTCGTTGGCACATGCTCTCAGAGCCCACCCAGGGATGTTGTCTGGTCCTGCTGCCTTGCGACACAGCTCAATTCTCTTGGTTCAGTACTCTCATGATATCAGTGAGAATAAAAATTTGTGTCAGTTATTTATTTCTTCTTAGGTATGTAATATCACATAACTGTTCTCAAACATTTTGTTTTGTATTCAAATGTTTTCCTTATTTTCTAGGTTAGAGTGTAATTAGATTATAGTGTGGCTAATGCTAACGGTAGTGAACATCAGGGTCAATAACGGGTCGGTTAAGAAAACGGATCTGGCCTATTGCCACATAAATAAATCACAAGGGAGTCCTGACCTGATCCTGCATACCATTTTCACGATGCATATTGTCATGTTTGTTACACCTCTACTAATAACTGGTCGTTTGCTTTAATAATGGTCTTTTTTCATCCTCCAGACCCCCCTCTTTCCATAACCCACTGCAGAAAAAGTATGGAAACTCCGTAAGTAACCAAGTAACCCCTACTGCACACAACACACTCCACAGGTCACTGTTACTTTTGCCAAGAGTAGCACTGCACAGGACTCTACATCGAAACTATATTGATTGTGTTTTCAATCCTGAATATGCTGAATATGTTTCAGAACAGATTGGGATTGAACCTATTGACTGGTAGTCAGGAAGGGCTGAGAGCTTGTTTAGATTTCTGTGGCTTTGATCAGGAATTGCTTCGAGGCTAGAAAAAGTGGAAGGGTATCTGTTCCCTTTCGATATGATTTTCAGATAATACATAAAAAAAGCCTTTATAAGGTAGTTTTCATTGCATAAAGAACATACAGTATTGCACAGTTCTAGCTATTGAATGCTTTGTGGCCTCGGTTCAGAATTTATGTATGTATTGTTACAAACTCATGTCACTTTTGAGCTATTTCACCCCATGTCATTCTTTTTTTTCCAAGATGTACCTCTTAGTACCTCACAAAATGAAATCTAATGCAAGATATACAGCTGCTAAATAATTCTGTTTTGCTCATAGGTTTGCCACCTTGCCATTAGAATATCTCAGGGCTAAGAGCCTTGTTTCCCCCTTACAGTACATGACAACTGTTTATGGATTGAGACAATGGCATTACCTGTTTAAAGATGGAAATGAAACTGGAAACTTTGCGAGTAGAATATCCTCTAAATTTGAAACACTTTCAGAACACA